TCCTCTCCTCTCCTCCTCCCCTCCCGCCCGTTCTCTCCTCCTGCTCCTCCTCCCTCCTCCGTGCCCACTTCTTCTTCTTCTTCGTCTTCTCAATGTTTTTCTGAATATTGTTGTTTTTCTTACTTCTCGTCTTACTCCTCGTCTCCCCCCTTCCCTCTCCCCCTCCCTCTCCTCGTTCGCTCGCTCCCAGGCGCTGACCCGAGCCCAACAGTCAGCAAGGGCCTCAGGTAGTTGATTTCATGGATATCTCCCTGTGATGGCGTCCACTCAACTCCACCCCCTCCTTGCCCCTCCTCTCCCCTCCCCTCCTCCACTCCTTTCGTCCTCTCCAACACCCCTCTTTCTTGTTCTCTCCTCTCCTCCTTACCTTCCTCCTCCTCCTCCTCCTCCTCCTCCTCCTTCCACTTTGCTCCCCTTGCAGCACAGATGATGGCGGCTGAGATATTGCCGACCGATGCGAACGCGCAGGTCATGCGCTGGGGGGCGGCTGAGAGCCATGACGTTAGCTGGCGACGATATTCAGCCGGCAGGTCTCGGGGGTTCCTCGAGGTCTCCCGAGGTGGATGTCGCCAGGGATCCTCAGGAGGCTCTTGAAGGTCTCTGGGCAGATCCAGACGGTGCACAAGTTGCAACGGCCGTGTTTCAGCGCTCTCGGCCGAGAGTAAGTTCGCTGAACGGACCTTATTCGCCATGTACCCATAGGTACGCCAGAGTGTACCCGCTTCCCGTGGGCTACGTGAAAAAGATCAATAACAATGACATCATGAACCGATTAACTTACAGAAGCCTTTGCCGATCATGCAGATGGATAGGCAAAACACTCATGCGACGGCCATGTTTTAGCGTTCTCGGCCTGGAGATCGCTTCCCAGCCTCAGGACTGCCCAGAATGGCTCGGGATGACACGCCGGCCCCCAGGGAGGGGGTCGAGACCTTCGGGGGACCCGCGTCACGAGCAAGTTGTTACTTCGGAGCAGGGGGGCCTCCATGGGCCCGAAGAGCGCCAAAACGCTCAAAATACTTCGACGCTGCGGACGAGCGTCGTCTCCTCCTCCTCCTCCTCCTCCTCCTTCTCCTCCTGCTCTTCCGCCGCTTCCAGCTGAGCGGAGGAGAGGCACGGGGGTCGACCGCGCGGCCATGCGCGGATAGGCTGCCCGTGCAAGGTCGTGCGCAGGTACCCCGCGGTTCCGCGTGGTCTGCAGCGTTGGATGCCCGCGGAGGCCATCGTCAGAGGCCGCCGTGCCGTCGTGCGAACAGTCAGCCCGCATAGTAGGGAGGGGCAGGGCAGCCTTCCCAGGGGTTGCTTTGCATCCTTGTCTTCTCGGTCCATGGCCACTCGCGCTGGCCGCGCCCCGCTTGCGAAGCTTCGAAATGGGCGTCCAAGGCCCTTGCATCCGTATCGCGCTTCCTTGTTATACGGGTTGACTGTAGGCTGCCAATGCAAGGTAGCGCGTCGGCACCCGCGGTTTCATGTGGCTTGCAGCGTTGGATGCCTGCGGAAGCCATCGTCAAAGGTCGCCGTGCCCTCGTGCGTAAATCGGTGTTTCCTCTCGGGGACCGTCAAGTGTGCACCTGCACCAATCCCGGGTGGCCCAAGGGATCGGTACACACACACACACCTTCTTTGATGCGACCGCCGTTGCGGGTAGTGTCTGGGGGCCAAGGTCGGACCAGGTGGGTGAGGCCGTGGCCTCGAGAATCTGGCTCGTCTGGGTCAATGCAATGCGAGACACACAAATAGTTACTCTGGGTTTCACAACAAGCGTGGGGGGGTGCCCCCCCCCCGACGGGGGTCAACCTCGCCTCGTCGTCGCGCCGCGACGGGGGTCGGAGCGCCTTCAGCGCGCGGTGGCTGCCCGCGACGGGGGTCGGTGTGGGGCTGTCGGCGGGGGTCACGCCCCCCCGGCGCTTGTTAAGAAGCTCGGAGTAAGAGGAGGCCGAGGAGGACGTCCTCGGTGTCGGTGCCTGCGCGGGCCGGGCGTGCCGCCTCGGCCTTCTCCGGGGCGTGCACGCACACCCTCGCAGCGAAGCCCGCAGGGCGCGTGCACCGACCCTCTGCCCAGGATGGGCCTGGCCAGAGAGGCGGTCCTGGTGTGCGATCGGCGTCCTCCGCCCTCCCAGGCCACTTCGACCCGGTCGATCCGAGGCGATTCCGATCTCGGCCAGCCCGGTCCAGTTCGGCTCCGCTCTCTCGACGATGCGTTGCGGCCCGACGCTTGCGTGGCGTCGTCGTGCATCCTGGTGCGGCCGCTCCGATCCGATTCCACCTCGGTGCCGGCGCGGCCGGATCCGACGGGCGTTCCGCTCCGATCCGGCTAACTGATTCGATGCTGGCTGGTCCTGCCTTTCCGGTTCCATCTGTCCCTTCCTCTCTCGGCGGGAACGGGGAGGGGCAGGAGGGACAACTAGACACAAGCACACATGAACGCGGAGGCTTCTGCTGAAATATCGGAGAACATGGGACATGGATGGGGAGGAGGAAAATCAGGGAAGTATGGAACAATATGGGGAATCCTGGAATTTGTGTTGATTTAGGTGTGCCTCTTTGGGTCCCTTGGGGGGAGGGGCTGCTCGCCCTGGCCACCAGGGGGTGTGTGCTCTGGGAGGGGGCCCCAGGGGGGGGGCTCAGAGAGCAGGCTCGTGGGCGGGCGAGGCCCTCGGGCCAGGAGGAAGATAGGCAGCATCATCGTGGACCGCTGAGCAGTAAGACAGCACGGAAGCACGGCGGCGGGGAATGGAAGCGATGCTGCGCGGACCACAGTCGTGTTTTCTTTCGGGTTGCGACCGCCGCCTTCTGGCCCTGCTTCAGGCAGCACGGGTTGTCGAACCGCATGATGCTTACAGCCACCTGGGCGACCAGATGGCGATTGGCATCCCAGAGCATCTCATGGGGATGCAAGCAATGGGCAAGACGGTGAGCAGTGCACACGTTTGAAGTCCTCGGGCGCCAGCGTGTGCGAGACAGTCATGCGCCAGCCAGAGCGAGCGGTGGGCTGCGCCGGGAGCTGATACAGGCACGAAGCGGAAGAGCAAGATGCCAGGAGGAAAAAAAAAGAAGACGGAGCCCGATCGGACCATGCGGGTCGGCGCGGGAGTGCCGGAGAGGTGCATGTAGCTGCCCAGCAGGGCACGCACACGCTGGTCTTTCACCAGCCGGTGGCTGGGCAGTCTCTGCCGACGCCTTTGCGCACGCCGCTCGCCCGCGTGCGAGAGGCGGGTTTCCCCCGCGCGGACCGCCCGCACGACCGTGCGCGTGCTCGAGGGCGGCCAGCTCTCTGCGCACGCAGGCCGGGCCAGCCAATGCCTGCAGGGGTGCGATGCAGGCCTCCTTGTTGATGCGATGCGATGCGATCCGATGCCGCTCTCGCCCGGCTCGGTCCGATCGGAGATCGATGTTCGGGCGATCCGACGCGGCCCGATGCTTGCACGGCCTAGCTAGTTGCTATCTTGGTGCGGCAGCTTCGATCCGATCTCGACTCCGTTCCGATGTGGCCTGCTCCGAGGCACGCCCCGGTCCGATGCGATCTGATGAGCGGTCCGATGCCGAGTGCTCTGGCGATGGGTGGCAGAGGGCTGCGTGCTGCTGTGGGTCGGTCGCCCCCCGACTCGGCCGTCGGTGTTCTTCGCGCGGCGTGGCTGCGAGCAGCGGCGCCGTGTGCACGCAGGCTCGGGGCACTGCCGAGGGTAAGGTCGAGGGAGGAGGTGGGCGCTGAAGGAGCCGTTGGCCGATCTCCGTGGGCTTGTGGCGACGGTAGGGCGCTTGCCTCGAAGAGGCCGTATCTGTAGGAGCGCGCCAGGACTTCCAGCGCGCGGGCATGATCGTGGACGACGAGGCTTGGCTGCTTGCCATGCTCAGCGGGGCAGGAGATGGCGTGCAGGCAGAACGGAAATGTTAATGTGGATGACGACGATGATGTCGACGATGGCGGTATTGATAAAAGATAACCATTGATTTGTTAGTTTGCTTGTTGGCTGACTGGCTAGTTAGTTCAAGATGTCGTTGACGATGCTGCCGCTGCTGATGACGATTTGATGCAAGAGTGCGACAAGACTTCGTGGCCACAGGAACTAGGCCATTGATCCTCAACATCATGATGCTGATGGTGCTGATGATGAAGATGAGGATGATAATGAGGATGGGGATGGCTGATGGCGATGGTTATGGTGGTGGTGGTGGTGATGGTGATGGTGATACTGATGCTGATGATGATGGTGCTGGTGGTGGTGATGATGCTGATGATAACGACGGTGTTTGTGATGTTTTGTAAGGACAGAGTGCGTAGCGTAGCTTGCGATAATAACAATGGTATCTCAGTGCGTAGCTTGCGATACTGGCACTGACAGGTCGGGTACTAACCTGGCGCTCCGCAGGAGGTACACGTGCTGCATGCGCGGCCTCAGTAGCCTGGGCTGGGATAGCGCCGCGCCGCGGGCGCGATTCCTCACCCGTGGAGCAGTTGGTAGGCCGGGCTGAGCTCCCAGACTGCCTCGTCACAAGATGGCCATCGGGTGCAGCAGTGCTCGCGAGCAACTGGCCATTCGATCGAGAGCGCTCCATGGGTCCGTGCAAATCCCGCTGCGCGCGTGATTGTCGCGCCTGGGGCGCACGCCTTCGCCGCACGCTCGGCGACCGAACTGCCCCGGCTTGGCAGGGCGTGTCCTGTTGGATGCTTGTGGTGGGTCCGTCCGAAACGCTTGGACGGCATGGACCCGTGGTCCTGAATCTGACCTCGAAAGATTAATGCGCACCATCGGGTACTTTCATGGCCCACACATCCACTGGCTCTCGACCAATGCCGCCACCGTGCCTTGGTTGTGGGCGCGATGCGCAGTGGGAGCAGGGTCGGGAGTACCGCGGCTTCCCAGGACTTGCACCTCGTGGGACCCTCTTCGGGGCCTGTTTGGGGGCCTCTTTGTCTTGTGGGCATCCTGGGAACCTCTCGGGAGTCTCTCGAGGTGGCTCTCGGTGTCTTTTTGTGCCTCTTGTGTGCCTCGCGGGGC